ATTAGGGAGAGTGTTTGGTGAATTTTGGATTTTTGGTAAATAACAAGTTGGTAAACAAAAAAGAAGGGCACCCCACACAGAGAAAAGTACCAGACCAGATGGAAAAAGAAAATTTGAAAAGGATCTTAAGATTTTCCATATCTACACCCTTTTTATTATATTTTGTCTATTTCAACTTATCAAACCCAACACTTGTACGCAATTATAATATATCAACTTCATTTGTCTCTTATATTTATATATATATATATATATATATGTATGTATGTAGAGCACGTGACTTAATTAATCAATTTACCGTATTATAAAAATAATTAAATATTGAGAAGCATATATTAATTTTGCTGGTAAATTTTGTTTTCCGATACGAGTGATTTGTCTTAGATTGGTTCCTAATGAGATTTAATTTTAGTATACAAAAACCAATTTGAAATTTCTTAGCCATTAAAAGGAAAAGTAGTTGTAGCAGATATCTTAATTTATATTTATAGTTGAAGGTTATTATTCTCCATACATATTTTTTATTTGAAAAAAGCTAAGTTAGGTGTTACATAATAATTTTTTTACTAAAAAATATAATAAAATTGTTAAAATTTAAATCAATTTAATTACGTTAAATTTATTAATATATTAATAAGTTAATATCTGAATTTTGCTGAATTTATAATATATAATTAGTCTTTATATATAACATAATGTACTTAAAAAAAATTGATTATCTGCTATTATTTTTTTCTTGGCTGTTGTAAGTAAATATATGTATGTATCTTTGTTTAAGAGCAAAATAATAATAATAATAAACTTTCAAGTTGCAGATGATACGATCGTTAAACTGCAGGATCATATGCACCCAAGATTTGACAGTTAAAGAAGACTTCTTTCATTATTTTATAATTAGTAGTCAAACCCACACACTCTCCTACGCCCACTCTAAATCACCTTCCTTAAACTTTATTTAAATTTATAATTAGAACCATCCAAGCTTCTACCTTTCTTGTCCTCTTCTTCACATTTTTTTTCTTAAAAAAAAAAAAAACTATGAGCACAGCAATTGCCTCCTCTTCCTCACTGAATCACCACCTTATTCACCTTCTTACTCTTCTGGAGATCTCCACCCAGAAGCTACCTCTCTCTTTCTTCTTTCTTCTCCTTCTACGTCTTTCTCTTTTATATAGCTTCTTCTCCCGCTCTCACTATTCACTCCCCACTTCCATCTCTTCTTCTCCTCCTTCCTCTTTTTTCCAAAATCAGCACTTTCATCCATGGCTTCCTCTTCAGACCTCACATACCCTAAACAAAGAAAGCAGTTTCCCATCGAACGCAGACCTACCATGCTCAAAGATTTTCTCTCAGAAGATTTCAGTTCGTGTTCCTCAAGTGGGTTCAAATCGTTTCCTCGCGGACCCGCTGAGAATCCCACTCTTACTCCGATCGAATTCTCTCTCTCTGTTGCAAAAAACCCACAAAGGAGGACCCGATCAAATGCATTTCGAGCCGTCATTAAGGCCGTCAAAAGCCTCCACTTCGCCACCGTTAAGTCCCCTTCAATTTTACCCCGAAGCCTTTCACGGAGACTTTCCTCCAACAAGAACTCGTTCTCCACCAAAAGCGAAAAGAAAGAATCCGAAGTCAAAGTCACCATCAGAGTCAAAGATATCATACGGTGGAGATCGTTCCGAGACTTGATCGACGAGGAGAAATCTCCACCGTTGGATTCCGCATGCTCTCCTCATCATGGCACCACCACCACCACCACCACGGGGTCCACCACTACCAGCAGCAGCAGCAGCACTAGCAACAGCTCGAGCTGGTGCGATAGTGATTTTACCTCAGAAGTTTTACCACCGTGGGGCCGTAACTCGGACGACCAAGGTGACAAGGTGGGCGAGGTTGGTAAAAACTTTTTACCGGGTGTCGGCAAGGGAAAGGATTCCGTGGAGTCGACGACAGGAGTATCCAATAAGACTGAAGTGGGGCCCAAGGTAAGCAATTATTTAGTGCGTCGCGTTTATTGTTTGTCTTATTGTGTGTCGGCTGGTGAGGGTCCTGATTTGGATAGTTTATGATATCGGACGGCGAATGTGTCTCACTCATAGTGAGATTTGGTTGACTTTCTCATTTGTCTTGACTGTACGGTAACTGGGTTTACCATGTGCAGGTAGTTTATATATATATATATATATATAGGTACAGCTGTTTCATTTGAAACCCAGTTAGCACAGTTTTTATCTGATCAGACAAAAGAGAAGCTACCTATAAATGTTATCTTACATATAAAATATTCAAAAACTCTATCTTGGGTTTATATATTATTATTAATTTTCAAGTTTAAAATAATTAAACAAAAAGTTGGTAGAAAATAATATAATAGACTAGTATAGTAACTGCCTTTGCTTGAGCTGGAATTAAATCTTTAAATTATGATTTAAAGTTGAACTTGTTCTTGAAAGCACCTTTTTCATAGACTGCTAATTGTTTATGATTATGTTTTCGCTAAAGATAATTAATTAATTAGATTTGAAATATCAATTATTATACGAATTAATCACGAAAAATCATTAAAAACTATTCATTAAAAACATTGTTCATCTCAAGTCACGTTTTAAAGTTTTTTAAATGTCTTGTGTTAAGTTCTCAAATTGAACTGATTTTTCTAATGAAGTAAATTTCTTTTTGTAATCTCAAACATTTTGCAATGATAATAATTTGGATTAATGGAATAATGATGAACAGGAGGAGTCAGGATGTGATGAAAAAGATTACCAGAGCCCAGTTTCTACTCTTGATTTTCGATTTGAAGAATACGATGGAGGATCGGTCTCTTCATTTGATCAAAGCCTGGCTAATACGCAGAGTATGTTCCATTGTTTACAGTTCCACGTAGAGTCAATTTCTTTAGTTTCTATTGAGAGAATGATACCAATCTGTAGTGCTTATTGACAGAAACAAAGAAAAAGTTGATGCAAAAACTGCATCGTTTCGAGATTTTAGCCAAAGTCAATCCTCTGAATTTAGACGAATGGATGTCATCAACAGATGATAGCAGCAGTTTCAAAGAAGAAAAAGAAGGGTATGATGTTGAAGAAAGGGCAATGGAGCTGTTGAGTAATGTGAAAGTAATGTGTTCAATTTGGAGCTGCAAGAGCCATGTAGAGCAGCTTCTATTGGATTTCTTTACAGAAGAATTGACCGAAAACATGAGCAGACAGTCAATTGACGAAAAGCGTGAGAACGAGATGATTAAGAGAGCGAAAGCTTGGATGAAGGAGGAGAATAGGTCTGCCATTGGAGGGGGAATGGAGGTGAATAGAGAGGGCTGTGTAAGAGAAATGGAGAAAAGAGGAAAATGGGAAAAATTAGAGGAAGAGCAGGAAGAGTTAGCCTTGGAAATTGAAAGTGATTTGCTTGATATTTTAGTAGACGAGGTGTTATCCGATGTCTGCTCTCATCCTCGTTGCTGAACAAATTCCAAGGATCATTTCATATTCGAGTAAAAAATTTTACTTGGACTTCAACCAGGACATGCTTTGAATCAAGCCACCGCATTCCATTGGTCTTGTTCAAATGCATAGTGAATTACGTCCAATTCGAAATGATGAGTAGGGTAGGGTAAAGATGTTTTTACCCCCGGAATCAAAGAGTGAAGCAGAGAAATCAGGAAAGAGTTAAAATTGGGTTTTAGGTGCAGCTTTTTTTGGAAGAAATAATTGAAGTTTTTTGACATGTAAAGATGAGTAGGAGGAGAAATAATGAGAGACGTAGCTCATGCTGTACGTTTAGGCAGAGTCTCTTTACCATGCCCAAGTCTTTTTCTTTTTCCTTTTCTGATTAAGAATTACCATTTCCCAAATTTTGTAAAGAAAATGAGTGAAAAAAGTGAGTGTGCACATTTATGGGGCAATTTTTATTTTATTAAATAGTATATAAATGTCTCAAAATTGGATTAGTGCTTATTAGCTTTCATTATCATTATTATTTCAATTTCTTGGTCTTCAAAGGCTTAAGTAATTATTACCATTAACAACTAAGATAAATTTTGTAACTACAATAGTTTGTGTTTGTCAAGTTATTTACTTTAAAGAAAGACTTTTAAAGAGGTTCATTTTGAGCAACCATAATTTATTATGAGAATACTTGAGGAAACAAAGCTATCTAAAATCATGTTATAATAGAAGAAGTAAGTATATTGATATGAAATTTCATTTCTACGAAGATCAGATTGTTAATACACCCACCAAGTCCCTCAAAACTTGGGCTGTCTTTTTTTTTTTTTTTTTTTTGCATTCTTGGGCTTAATGGTAAGAGCAATGGTGTATGTAATGGTCCATGTCTTACTATTTCTTTGTTTAATAGAAAATTATAACAGTTCATTGTGTTTTAATGTTCAACATGTTATCTTTTCTTCTTTGCTTTTGCATCATTTTATGTATTTTATAATCTTGAATTGAGGTATTAATATACATTTAGGATAATAAAATTTTAATAATTTTATATAAGAATATCTTAATTGTATTTAATTATTGAGATTTAGAGATAATTATTATTAGAAAATATCTCATCATTTTGGAAATAAATTTTTGCCATTGACTGATGTATATATTTGGTAATATTGTTTATCATTTGATAAAAGCTCTTAAATGACTTTTTCTTTCTCAAACCTATTTTTGTTTTCTGAATGTAATAAT